AAATGTGAATCAGCAATTGTCCAGCATTTACTAGTGAACCAGACTTGTGCTGACAACTACACTGATAGCAGGTTTAAAATTATTGTAAATGGTTGGTCGACCTTTCATCTCTATATTTTGGAAGCCACCTTTATTAAAACACATAAACCTGTCCTTTGCCGCCAAATAAAATTCCTATACAATCTACACATGCTTCAGTAGGTCTGTGACATTTCCTGATTGGCTTAAGGACATGCCAATCAGTGATTGCCTTACCGGCCTACGTTGATCTGACTCATTTTATAAGCTGTACAATTTCCTATAGATCATTTTCCAGACAGTTCTGCTATGATTAGTGTCTGGAGAAAAGCTTCAGCAGATATTTCCATTGCAACATCTCAACCAACAATTGGTCCAGTTATCAACGCTATTTTCAAATTGGGAACAACTCGACTTTCAATATCTACGTATCTACATGTGCCGATGTTTCCATTTATCAAAGTTATATTTTAAGATCTGTGCAAAAACTCAGCTAACAAATGTTTCCGCATATGAAAGCTATCTTCAAGTTTTGTACACCAAAAAACTTTTCAAATAAAAATATTAACTTCACTATATCTTTACCAATAATAAAATGAACGAAGGCTTAGTTTGATCATTTTATTGAAGTATATTTCTCGTTACATTTAAGGCACTGAAACAAGTTTTATCTGAAGTTTCTGTCATCTCACCATTTCTGTAGGTAGATTTTAAATATGTCAAAATGATCGACCTTTTCTGTACTTGGATGAAATTCAGTAACCAAAGGAAATGACAGCCATTGGTAACTTATGGCCAATCACAACCATGTATTATTTGGAGTTTAAATGAGAAAACAAACAAACTACAAATTATAGTTGTATTAAATATATTCCACCTATTGGAACTTTTAAACGAAGAAATCTTACTAAGTTATATAATATTTTAATATGACATGTCTTACTAATGGAAAGTCACAAATAGCACAATTCGTCAACAGATGTCACTAGCAACAGTTAAATGTCAGAGGTTGTAAACGTATTTTGTGATTATTAATCTTGATTCTATTAGGAATATAAATTCCTCAAGTGATGTTACATACCTAACAATACTTTTTTATCAGCTATTGCTGAGGAAATTAATTTGATTAAAAACTGATAAAACAATATTAAGTCAGATATTTATCGTGCTGAAAATGGGGAAAAGAACTTGTGAAACCAAAACGAACACCACTCAGATCGGAAGGAAATACCCGAGCCAAGTTTTTTTATCACCAGTGTTATGTTTACTAAACGAAAATATCTTCCAGGTTAATCTGATACAATAATATTAACTTAATATATTAACAAAATATATATACACGTAAAATAAAGTACCTTTGTTTATATAACTCAATATATCAGAACGGGTGGCATATATAACTAACTATAAAAGCCTTATTCCCATTGTCACTCTGTCGAGAACGCTTTCACGCTCCTTTTCTTGTTATTGCTGAACAATATACATCGTCGCTAAGCAACAGAACTATCACCTGATTGGTCTTAGTCCTACAATATTATACAAAGCACAGATCGTCAAGAGATAACCGCCTGCCTACCTTTAATAGTGAAACATCCGCGTATTATTTTCTCTCCGGTGACGTTCAGAGGGGTGTCTGGATGGACCATGCCAACGAGGATATAGGCTCCACCTGGCCGGAGGAGGCTCAAGCCTTTAGTGAACGATCCAGAATCGCCACATACTTCTACAACTACATCGGCCGTACCTGCCTTTGGATGGTTGCCTGTTGGCGATTCTAAAAGAGTTGAAAAATGGGGAAAAAAGTTGGAGAATGAAACTAATATTTATTCATTTTAATCATAGCTTTGTGAATGCCAAAAACCATCGTTCAAAGTTTTTTACCGAGTCTTTCTCAAGTAAGAAATAACTTTTATAAATAGGAGTATAAAGGTTGAAATGAAGAAAAGAACAATTAAATAATGAACACTATAATAAAATTGGGAAACGATGTTTTATTGACATTTTTCTTCTCGTGAACTTCCCGATGGCTTAGCGGTAAGCTTGAGGGTTTAAAACACTATAAATCGGGTTCGATGTCCGCAATGGAGATATTCTATCACGTAACTTTGAGCTTAAAACAAACAAACAAACACAGTTTTTTCTCTTTTTGAAGTTTATTATTTTCTAATGCAATGTATACACAGTGCTGAAAAAATAAAAATGTTTATGAAGCGACACAAAGCTTGAAAAGGATGGAAGAC